AAAACAAACGAAAGAACTACTTAACTCTTTCTTCAGATAAATCATATAATTGGTAGTGATAAGACTATTGCATCTATTTGAAATTTACGAAAGGTTTATGTTCGACATGTTGGGAGTAGACTCAATTTTCAATCATAAGAAACATAAAAAAAACATAATTTAACAGATATTTAACTTGATAATTTCATCTGCAGATGTGCGACAGCTCCAACTTAAACTTTCGCCGGTTGCAACAAAGAACCGTTAAGATGGATATCAACATAGCTGAACTCCCTTATAGATTTATCCATAATCCCAATGACTGAATACAAATTTAGTACCACTGTGTCTGTTTCTTGATAAGCAAACAACAATTAGTCAGTATGAAAATTAACAGAAAATTTTCCTTCCTCCTTTGCAAATGGTTTTGTTGTCTATTTTACCTAGTTGATTATATTGTTTGGAATTCTCAAAACTCGAGATATATAGAATCGAATTCAACTTCCATATCTTTCATGTATCGATATATTGTGAATGAGCATATTATTCTCTTCGCCACCAACAATCAAAATGTCAAAACATATTAATGCTTATTTTTGTATTATTCACTTATAATTCAATAATAAATTTCAAATATTTTCGCTTTCTTTGATTTCATGTGCCAGTTTAGCACAAATCAAGTGCATGGTTAAAGTATATGATTAAACAATATTTTGAGAACATCAGTTTAAATAAAGGCATATGTGATAATCTTTATGAAAGAGTTAGATATATTATTTCTGTACGATGTATTAAACCATGGTTTGAAGGCTTTTTCTTTCGCAAAAATCATATAAGAATTTCATAGCAATATGTCAATGTAAAGTTCTGTAGAATCATTTGAATATTCATGTGTGTTGACGTCAATGCTTTGATCTTCGCAGTAATTAAAATAAAGGTCATCCTCAATCTACCATAAGAGAGACGTTTTCATAATATATGTTATGTCACATAAGGTACCTGTACTCTATATTCCTCTTATGGTCAGATATTTTTTTCCCATTATTCAATGTGTATTTTGAATATACTAGATTCATCATTTTTTCTGTACAATGAGCCACTGGTCTGCCATTTTCTTTCGAACTAAGAAAACTTGTAACACTGTACACGTTTGTTGTATGAATGCTTCGTGTAGTTACAACAGTTGATCAACATAAGAATGTGACACAAGGTTAACTCAATTAGTAGAGACACCTTTTTTCTTTTCTTGTGCAATGATAAATCTTTGTTTTGATACATCGTCATTTCATTATCTTAAAGAAGTAAAATTACACTGTAAGTAATTGCTTAAAAAAGATATCTTTGTTTTTTTCATGCATTAGAGGTGTGCCCTAAGAGAGAGAATTAAAGTTCGAATTATTGTGCAAGAATATGTTTCACATATATTGTAAACCAATTAAGAGTCAATATGTAGAATCTAGTTAGTATTATTACGCAACAGTATGTGTATAAATACATTGTTTTTTATTGTTGAAAGAAGAAATTTAGTTTCTGAATAAACGGTGGTCATATACGTCAGGCAACTCATATCGTAGCACCTATATCTCACTTTTGCATTTTTTTGTTTTATATAAAGGTTTATCTTCTACGTAGACTCATGGCCAAGCTCATAAAAAACAAAATCATGTTATACAATGATTCTTATTATGGTGACTTTTCACTCGATGTACTTCGAATGAGTCGTCATGCGAGTGAGCGAGCCGAAGAAAGAAAAATTCCAGCTTCAGAACTCTTGCAACCACGAAGCCACATCAATGCATTTATCGATAAGGTGGTTAGTAAAAATGGTTTAATTATAACTGTATATCAACGGAAACAATATGTCTCTGGTAACTATGAACTACCTGAAAATGGCAGACGTTTTAAGATTTCAAAAGAAGGAATTGGTCTATTCATTGGTAAACAACACGCAAATATCAAAAAGATTCAAGCTCAATATCAGCTAAAGTCTCTTTATTTCGATAAATACAACAACCTCATAGCTATTGCACCAACGAATGATTATAATTGGACACCTGTGGAACAAATAATTGAAAGAGCACGCAAAAGAAAATATAAACCACTTTCAAAGCAGTTAATGAAGAAAAATGAGAAGTAAATATTATGTATACCTGTTCGTTGAAAGTAGAAACTGATACACGGACGAGAAGCATGTAAATTTCTCTTAATGAAATAATTCCTCTTTACATAATCTGAATCCACATAGACATGGCTACAGTATTTACCAAATTAAAAATTTATTTATTGTATTTCAGTCGTTAAATACGATGCATCAGCACTTATATTTTATTTTTTTTGTAACAAAGCCTTTCTTATTTTAATGTAATATAAAAGTTTTATTTGTGTACATTATGATTCATAGAAACATAATGTTATTCACTCTACTATACTTCGGATGTTGATCGATGGAAACAGATGTTTGTGTCTGAAAGGGAATTTTTATTTCATCAATATTGGTACTCACAGCCATCCTGTAGTTACATTAATAGCTTAGAGATATCAGAATCGCGATAAGAAATTACATTTTTAGATGAGTCACAATGAATGCACGTGTACATGATAAAAAAAGAACGCAATAGTGATATGACGAGATTTGATAAAGTTAATAATCTCTAAGAGAAGAAAATTTTATCTTGACATTATGCCCAATAACTACAATATAAGTGATTTGCATTGTTGTTGAAACAATGCTTAGGTGTGGATGTGCATGATTAGTTCTGTTCAACCTCATCTGTACACCCTATGTAAAATAGAGAAATATACCGCGCTTCTAATCTGAGGTCAAAGCCTTTTTGTCCAATGTTCGAAGGGTGTGGGTGTGTGTAGCTCAACAGACCACCACATCTTCCCCACACCGACCCACACCCACACCCTCGGTCATATCCATAATTCGACATAAATGCTAATCGAAAAAAAATGGCAGCATCTGGACATATTTGATGAACGCACAGACGAAGACCTCTCTGATAGACTTCTGGAAATGTAGGATTTAGAAAGAATAGATCTAAAAGATCCAAGAAAACAAGAACAATTGCATGAACTGAAAGAATCTGCTCCATTAGAACAATTAACACTGATACAGGACGAATTTGAACAGATAAACCAAACTGATATCGTTAAAAAATTGAAAGAGGAGGAACAACAGCAACGAAGGAACGAGGAACTAATGCAACTGGAGCTACGAGAACATCTTGAATTTCTACTTCGACAATTATAGTAAAAATCTGCTTGATAATAGAAATAGAGATAGATTTGTTTAACCTTTATACACATGGATTGGTCTGGATATTATTCTGCAACAAAAAGAAAGATCGAAGATGACAACCGGTAGAAAATCCGATTGATGGTTAAAAGCCCATCATTGTTAAAAGACCAGATGGAATTGTTTACTGTCTTAATGATATGAAAAATTTTTGTTTAGTTTCATTCTGTTGATTGTCTTGTTAGATACAATAGAAACAGCAAAACTTATATCTTTTGGAATCATTTTAATCTCTATAACTCGCTACTACAAAGCTAATTCCTAAAAATATACATTCCTTTTATATTGTTCAATTCTCATAAGAGATACTTTTATCTGAAGAGTTTCTTTTCTCAAGTTAAATTTTTTTTTGTAAATACTTTTATCTAATTTTTAATCAAAATGTTTTCTTTTTTTCAATTGAAAATTTTTCGAAACTAACGAAATTTGAAAAAAATCATCGAAAACTTTCAACGATCATAGTCACAAAAGGAAAATGATATTATATTCACCTATCGACGTCAATCTCTGAATCAGTTTGTGTTTCTAAGCAAATTCTGCACCTATTTAAATATAATCGTATGAATAAATATTCAATTATTTCTTTAAAATAGGTTTTTTTTGTCTATTTTATGTCAATGAATTAGTTCAATAATTGACTTTTCTTTAGTTTTTCGACTATTAGAAGTCGAAGATATTCATTATAGTAGTGGCATTTTGTCTACAATTCACCTCAGTATGGTAGACTTAGTTTTCAGTTCCAATATAGTGTACCTATTTAGAAATATTATCAGTTCTATTGATTAATACAGCTTCAAAGAGAATAAGGACTATGTTGCATAAAAATCTTTTTGTTGAAAGTCTTGTTCAACGAATCATTGATGTTACAGTATAGCCATTAGTTTTATTACGAAAAACAAAAATGCTTAAGATAATATTGTATTGATCTGATATTAAATAGAAATTCAAATGATTTTATTTAAATATTCAAATAATCAATACCAAACAGTTAAAGTTGAAGGAGAAAAATGAATATCAAAAAGATTTTTATGATCTTTTACATTTATATATTGAATAAATAAATTATACAATTGATTTTCATGGGAAATAATACTATTGCATTCATCAAACAATTCTGTTGAAAAAAAGATCAATTCAGACCAATAAGAATATTTCTTTTCAATCTAATCATCGCGATTGAATAAAATGTTTGAACAATTAATAAATGAACATTTATCTAATGGAAGAAACAATTTTAAGTATTTAACATGTGGAAATTGATGAGCGAGAATTGACATCTCTTTTTCATCATGCAAATAACGTTCAACAATTAAATGACGAACAAAAGGTTGAATTTATCGAAAAAATAGCTAAAACTATTTTATCAACAATTATCTTTTTTTGATAAAAGACACGTGTTTTGTCTGAAAAAATTAGTTTGTGAATATGAAATGACAATTTAATATCAATTGATAACTTATTGTTTTACAAGCATAATCAAATTCTGTATTTAATAGAATAAATTCGCTGTCTTTTGTAACTATCATAGGTTTCATATTTTCAGGTCTTTTAATATCTGACGATAAACTGTTGGTTTTGTGCCAACTATGACAACAGGTAATTTTCGTTTATCATTTTTATTTGATAGCCATGGTAAAGAATAAATATGTATCCATTTACAATCTTCCTCACCATAATATATAACATTCATTAGCCATCGAACACAATCTTCAATTAATATTTAATTAGCTATTGGATGAGTCATTGTATAGTGAAATTGACGAAGATGCGGAAAACATTCACTTAAAATTGATTCAAATTTGGAACCATAACAAAATCGTAGATCAAATGTATCATGAATACTTGAGGTTAATTTAATTAAATTTTTCATATAAGCAAGAATAAATTTGATACCATAAATAAAAGATTCAATAGATGATTTAAATAATGTAAACTCAGTTAATTGAGAACATGTACACATACTGCAGTTTGAGGACGATGACGAGCTACAACAGAAATATATTCAAAGTTAGATAAATGGTTATCTCAATAATTTCTTCTACAAATGACGAAAGCGCATAAAAGGACAAATCGAAGGTACTATTCACATTACCATAAGAGATTCAAAAAGCGATAAATAAAAATAAAGTATTTAAAAGTCTAAAGTACAAAAACATTGTAGTTATTTATAAAAGCTCTCATTTTAATCTTTGTTTTTCTTTAAATAATATCTCTTTAAGTATTCACTATGTTGCTTTGTTGAATGTTTTTCTAAGTTTCAAAACAACAAGTTTAGATAAATATTTAATGCGATAGAGTCAACAGAAATTGTATTAGAAGTGTGTACTCTTGATTTTTTTTTATTACATATCTAAAATTTTGAGAAGTTGATATATGTATATAATAGCAGTGATTTTGAACAATTTCAAATGGCTTTCTGTTATCGAAATCAGTTTGTTCTCCCTTGATCTTCTTCTCATGTATATGCGAGAAGAACTATCAATTTCTCCGCTTTAGGGTGTATTATTGATAATTTATGAAGTTTTTTTCTCAGTAATTACATTTGCTTCACATAGTATTACTAATATAAATACAGGGTCTAATAATACTCAGAAGGAGAGAGAATGCACTTTTCTTATATTCTTTTCTCCATGTCGATCGACGAGTGTATAAGGCTGAAATTATAACTATGAAAATATAACTACTCATTTGCTCTTCAATCAACAATTTACCAATACTCATCCTCGAACTGTCGAGTGTCATCAATCGAAAATGATCAATATTAAAATACTCATGCTCTTAATTATAGTACTGGTATTGGTCGCAGCTACTTGCAGGACGCGACATACTGAAGGTGATGAACGAGACAATAGTGCTGATATGGAGCGCATATATAGTCTCCATGAATTGGTCGATCTAGTAATTGCAAAACGTCAAATTCATTCATTTTCGACGTGATCAGATTTATGAATAGAATAATGATAAAATCGAGAGCATAATGAGCGAAGTATTTGAACAAAATATTAGTCACAGTATTAGTTTTCGTAGTATTCCTTTTCTTGATATTTTTTGTTTTGAAATGAATTGTTTCCGTGGTCGAGGATAAAGTGACAGATAGGATGTGTCAATATAAGATATTTTCCTCATCGAGAATACTCTCTAATCAGATCCCAGAGGATCCAATGATTTCCTATAAAAATCTAATATTGAGATTGGTTTCGGTTATGCCACTCATAGACAAAACTTTTACATAAATAAAGTTCATTCACACTTTCTGATTTTATCATCGTAGTATACATGTTCTTTTTAATGAATTAATTTAATATTGTTTTTACTTTGTAGAAAATATGGTACGCGCACATATATCGAACATATGACACATGCAATATCATCGGTCATCGTAGAACTTTATTTATTCGTATTCTTTTATTCATTTTATTTGTACTTTTTCATTATTTAATTTTAAGAAAATGTGTACGCCTATGTGAAATGATGAATTTATGTTCGCATTTTCACAATCTGTTCAGAAGGGTTCGTGCAAGTGCACAATGTCTAATAACTTATAGCAGGAGTTAAAACATTCTGACAGTTTGCTTTTCGCTCAGATCGAAGTCTCCGATTGTCGAAAAATCGCTCTAATTTTGTCTAAAGAATGGAATGTATTGATGTTTCTTGTTTTTCTTTGCGTCTCGATCGTTAAAAATAAATGAGAAACAATTTATGATGAAGATAAATTGCATTGACCAACTTCTTATTGTAACTATTGAATATCACGAAAGTGAAAGATGTTAGTTTAAAGTTTACTCATTTTACGTTAATAAATGCTTTCAATTTGAATATACACGAATTTAGATTGAATTTCTACGAATGAAACGACGATCAATATACGAAATCGACATGGACAAAAGAGATCGAGGATCATTATCAAAATCATCGGAGGTATCGAATCATTTTTCTACGAACCGTACAAGGTGCTTGTGGTCAAATTTCTTACCTATTCTTTTTCTTGATTAAATTCCATAAGGTCTTTTCTAGGGTGCCATCGAAGGTCCAATCGAATTTATTGAATGTCGAGTATTTCATCTGTAGCCATGTGTATGATAAAGCATGAGTTTTATCCAAAAAGAGAATTATCAATATAGATTTTAATGTGGCCAAATTTCTGTCAGAAACATGACGGATCATCGAATTTTTGCAGTTGTTATGATACTTTAGGGTTTTCGACAATTGTTACAATAAAAAAATCTGAATAATGCTAAACACTTCATTGAAAGTTCGATGTATATCAAGAAATGAGCTATCTTCATATATTTCTTCTCAGCTGTCAAGTGACTGAAGCATTGGCTACACTTGATGATAGGATGGTTGTTATGGTCACTTTTCTTTGACGTCTGTTCGTTTCGCCACATTCATTTTTTGCTTAATGGAGACGTTCGCTCATTACGCTGTCAATAGCTACTCTTCTTTGATTTTCTTTCTCACTTAAGTAACATATTACAATATATGATTGGCAGAATATCTTTCTTGAGCATACAGGAAAAGCGTCGTTCCTTGCCTTCATCGAAAGGGAATGTTTTGAGCTTTCTCAATCGAGGTGTTTCCGGACAGCTTTGCACCATTCCTGCGGTTAATCAACAAAATTTTTATGTTCCTTTTTCTGTCATAGACGACGTGAGGATGAGGATGATCATGATTTCCCTCTTTCATCCTTATCCTCACTCTCATCCAAGAAAAATCAAAATCTGCAATTTTTATTTACAAAATACACAAAAAAAGTTGATTTTAATTTGCTTTAAGTTCTAATTTCCCTTGTAACCATATATGAAACGATCAAAGCCAAACAGTCAAAGATTTACCATCACAATGGCCATGAAACGGGATCGATCTCGATTTAAGTTCTGTATTGTCAGCGATCCACATTTTGATGCACTTGTAGTCATAAAAATTCGTTGGAATCCAATTCGTACGAAGTAATTTAAAATCAGGTCTTTGTTGAGCATCAAATAGTATATCAAGACTGTCGCGAAACACGGTAGCATTTGATTGAAATTGAATATGGAGGGAATGAAGATTGGGAAAACACGGCATAAGCGAAGTAATTGTGTTCACATTATTGACGTAAAAATTGGAAATAGTCAAGTGGTGCACATGTGAGCAAATAATTGTCTTGAAGTTAGCATCATTGTCATTGATCAGTGTTAATGTATTGATGCGTTGTGCGAGACAAGAAACCGATTCCATGTTATTCGTCACAAGATGTCGAAGTCGACGAAAATTACCAAGATCAGGTTTATGTGTTGACAGAGTGGTGAGAGTATGAATGTTAGGAAAACGATGAGACAAATTCATACCATGACATGGTATGTCAACAACGAGTGAGACAACGTTAGAACATACACTCGTAGCATCGTCTTTGGCTAACATCGACAGATTGCAATGTTCAAGCGGCCATGGTATCGTGTATACATGTCTGTTGTCATGGTTGGATGTCATTTGACACGCCATTGGCCAGCGTTTTGTTAGTTGAGTAAAACTCTTCAAGAAAAGATGAATGCAATCAAAGATATAGTATATATTTCAGTGTCTATTAAGTACCTTCATGTCAATTTGACAACTTGTCTTCACATAATAGGAAAAATATTGAAGTCGAGCCATGTATTTATCAAGTAGCATCTCGATCTGATTGCCTTGTGTAAAGCGAATATCACTCGTCAGTCCTCGAATGATGAGTGAGAATGAATCGAGTTGGACTAGAGGCGCGACAATATCATGCAGAAGATCAAAAGACAAATTAATTTGTTCGTCAATAGTCAGTCGAAATTCAGTCATGTGATACATTCTTTGACGTGGCCACATTGGTGGTAATGGCGATCGAGTACGAATACGAGAATTGCATAGAATTACATTGAGCGTGATCAAATTGGGTACGAGACCATCAAGTAGAACAAAAAGGTCATCGATTGTTCTCAATGAAAGCGTCAAGTGTTTTAGACATTTGTTTGAACACAATTGTTTGTCCAAAATGATGCCCATCTGCGTAGTCAATTCGAGTTCAGTAAGTTTATGAAATTTGTTGGCAAACATCAAACTACGCAAATTTTCGATAGTTGAATAGTTGATTGATGACAAAGACGAACGAGGCATTGACTCGACAATACGAAGTGATTGTAAATTATGGAAATGACCAATGTAAATATTTATAAGAGTTATACATTGTTCGGTGCAAGCGAGTAATTCTAGTCGCTGTATATATGTGCAGTAGGACTTACACAAGACACAGGTAGATATGAACAGTTCGACCTGTGGCGGAATCAAGGCATTACTGATTGTCAAAGTCGATGGACGAAGTGTCAAGTGAAGCATCTGATTCACCATATATTGATAATCAGCGTAGGAACATTTTGTCAAATTGAGATTCGTGCGATAATTGGAAATACAACGAAATAGATGATCGTTATAGTTCATAAATGCTTTCAGTACATGAGTCGGCTTCAAATAGGAACAAATGATGAGTAACAATTCATCAGGCAAATCGTCAAAATGAGCCATGCACTCGTATAGATATTTCTCAAAACGTTAATTTTGTTTTCTAAAGTATGTTTTGAAAATAAACGGAAACAAAAATTCCTCGTTTCATGTATTGCTGTTATTTAATTCAAGATCATACCTTATTTTGTTTTGACCCCTTTTGACTTGTGTATGATACTATCAGTGTCACTGATCGAATTGTGCAACAAGAATAGAAGGATATACACTTGTTCGTCGTGATTATATATATTATGACCTAGACGATCATAGCAGACGATGATCATGATCTATTTCTACAAAGATGATCGTGCTGTTGGACATTAAACAATGACGATCATTGTTTTGCTGCAAAATCAATAGACTAATCGAATGTTAGTCGAGTAAAGAGGTCAAATCTACTTTTGTGTCAATACAATACAAAGAATGACGCTATCTAAAGAGATTCATATCATT